TATATATACTGGTTCTCTACGCGGGTGCCTGGAAAAAGGGATAAGCAAATGCCGCCGCGTTACCAGAGTTAATTTTGAAGAAACGGTCCTATAATTCTAATGTGTCAATTACGCCTTCTTACAGAATCACCTGTAAACATGCAACATTGTCTACTGTCGGATGCCAAGATGAACGTTTAAATGAACCTAATCGGAACGTGGTGGTCTTCATGAATTAGTGCAGTCATTTGTTGGCCTCCTATAAGACCGGAGTTCCAGACGTTCCGTCCAGGGACTTCGTGCAGTTCGGCAATCCGACTGAGTAGCAAGTTTCATTTGACGTCCCACAATTCGTCCGGATGAACTGTCTTCGGGACCTTTGGGAACATTCATCCGAGATCCAAGCTATTTCGTCTTATATCCAGTGTTCTACAGAAGCCGGTGGTACTCTGCTGCTGGGGGAATTCCTAGGAATATACAAAGACATGAAGATCTCGTTCCAGCGCGAATTGGCATCCAACCATCAGGTAGGTGGAGGCGAGTCCAGAAGATAGTCCTAATAAATTCGTTCGACTTCAGCACCCGCCGGCCTCAGTTGCTAAGCTAGCTGTCCATCGATTACGCGACCTCAAAAAGCATAGGGAAGCGACCGACTTCAGATGAGTAAATTGAATTAGCTAGTTGTTGACTCGTGTCATCGGTAATTGGCGGCGATATGACCAATTTGGATTCATGGTTAGCACAATGTTCGAGGGTCCCATTCAGTCAGACGATCGCGACTATTCAGGAAGTTAGCACTATAAAAATTGTCTGATACCAGTACATAATTCAAACGGTCGTTCGCCGTTGCCCGTACGGAGTTTAATTTAATCCGACCACCAAACTGAGTCTCAAATGCGCCTACTGGTGCATCGGAATCCATTGCAACTTCACGATATGAGTCCTTAGTCCACTGCAGAGTGGCACTCAAAGCATCTGATGTTATTGGGGCTACATTCTGTCGGAGTTAGCAGATCAACTGTCTCCAGTAGACGTACGGCGGTGGCGCATCACAGGGATGCCAGTAACATCAGATTCCTGAAGATGAATATCAAGAATATCAAGACATGTCTTCTACTTTCATCAAGGCATTGGATGCGAACTGACATCAAGATGCAACGAACTAAAGACGGTCGAATTCTGATTTATAAGATCCATAGTCCCCTAATGAACCACACAAAGGAAACTGTCAACAAGTATCCAACCAAACACGGACGCTTCCGCCTACTAACTTTGAACAGCTTGGCAGCTTTCCACAACTGCCTCCGGATCGCCTGTGGTGTGGGACCGGGGGCGAGTAATGGTACAGTTGATTCAACGATTGAACTTGGATCTTGAATCTATCAACTTGAAGCAAGTACATCACGTGAACAGAGGCAGCCTGTTATCCCAGTTACTTTAAGGTACAGACGCTAACAGTGGTCTAATCAGACAGATCGAGATGTCGAGGTTGGCTTCGAAATACCTGAGACGGTTGTCCTCGACCAGGCGCAGATGTAACAGCTAACAGCAGTCGTTCAATCAGTTATTCAACCCACAAACCGTGCACCGAACTGTGATTGTTCCAGCTGCTACAGCTTCGTTCAACAAGGAAGAGGATAAGAGAATGAGAGCATCATACGTTGCAGGCGATGGCCCAGTCTACGCATTGAAGACAGACGGATCTGTCTATCCAGCATAGTGAGAGCTACGCAGTGAATGTGATAGCTTTGATACAAGACCAACATTGACTGCATCACAGTCATATCTGTCAGAGTCACTAAACATTGTTTTATCTGATCACGTGGTCCCCATTCGGTGATACCGCAGTTACTAAAGCAACTCGGTTGACTGGTAAAGATAGCTATCAGTTACAAGGTGAATGGGTTCATCCGTCCCAAATCATCATCATCAAAGACAACAACATCAGTGTTGACATCGATGCTTCACTGCCGTCCAAAAGGACGGGTCTAGAAACATCGATGCTCACTGCCGTCCAAAAGGACGGGTCTAGAAAGGGAATAGTAATAATAGAGTGGAAAGGATGAGGAAAATTTCGCAAAGTAAAAAGGACACGTCAGCAGTAATCAACCTGCCCTGACATCGGGATCGGGCTACAATGAACCCGCGGTCTACACCGATTGACAGGAACTTAATCCCACAAGCAAAACGGCCAACGAGGAAGGGCTAAAATAAGAGCAGCGAGTCCATGTACAACAGGCAAGTGTGCTACGGAGCGGTCTGGAGTTTAAGTCGTACTATCCTCTGCGAAATTGATGTGAAGGTTGTCAATTAGCATCTCCATATTTATGGAAGCAGCGGTGCCGACTCCTCTCAAGAATGAGTCAGAAAACGCCCGCCCTAATGAGTGGCCGGTAGATACCCAAAGTAAAAAAAACGTATCAGAACCGTCTACTAGAATCCGCTAACTACTACTCAGCCAGATGTCAATTCTTACTAGAACGAGATAGGCGTATGCTTGCATTTCTGTGGGTTCCCTCAGTGGAACAGAGCTCCATATTTAAGCAGCGGTGCCGACTCCTCTCAAGAATGAGTCAGAAAACGCCCGCCCTAATGAGTGGCCGGTAGATACCCAAAGTAAAAAAAACGTATCAGAACCGTCTACTAGAATCCGCTAACTACTACTCAGCCAGATGTCAATTCTTACTAGAACGAGATAGGCGTATGCTTGCATTTCTGTGGGTTCCCTCAGTGGAACAGAGCTACCAGGTCCGGTCAAATGTTGGATACCACACAGGACAGTGGGACTGTCTGAATTTCCGAGAAATATTCCAGCAGGTCCTTAACACAAATCAGCCCAAATTATCAAACATGATCCGCGATCATGAAACCTGGTGGACACATTGTGCTACAGAATTAGAGACGAAGAACGCCGGAAATATTCTAGGATTGTACCGACTGATCTGTGCGACTGGCCCTTGGAAATCATGGCTGAGCGAAATGATCAAGGATCATCTCCAATAAAGGACACGTCGACCTCTGGGCCGAGCACTCTGAACAATTCCCGTAGCAACCGACTGCAACTCAGTCGATTGTCGAACTGTTCTAGAAGCTTCGACGGTGAACCTGGAACCCTCATGGCCTTAGAGGCTTGTGATTGCATGTATCCTCTCAAGCGGCGCCGAGCTCCTGGTCCGGATGACCTACTACCCACATTGCTGAAAGATGGGGTGAAGTCCTCGGTCTACTTGCCTCCACCTGGGAAAAGAAAACTATCCGGGAGTGAGAGTATACAGAGGTGACTCCAAATGCTTCCGTACACAAAGTGTTAACTGATAGGGATACCCACTACGTTCACTTCTATTAGGTTTTGTTATCGATGAGTCAATGAGGGGATCATCATCATCATCACCATCATCATCATCTTCATCATCATCATCATCATCATCGACAGCATGACATCAGTGTTCAACACCAATGCTTCACTGCCGTACAACCATGATTTATTTGAAAGCTTTATTGTAAAGAAAAGAATAAATGTGTATACGGAAAGGACTCAGTGATAGTTTACCACAAGCATTCCGAGTTTCATACACCTCCAGACACTCATTCAGGATGGAAACTGGCAACAAGAACGCCACTGACAATTAGAAAACGAATGTTCCGTTGTGCGGCAGGGAAATCAATATAAGGAAGTGTCCCCACCAAAACCTGCAGCGATTAGGCCGCGTACTTCGGATGGCAAATCATTGTTATTCGTGTCCGATTCGAAGCGGGGCAAGGAAAGTTGACTAACCTTTGACCTGGCAGAGGGGCATGAGACTACGAAAAGTCTCGGTACTGTCAGCGCGACTCGCATCCCAAGATGTAGGCCGTGTGAACTGCACAGCGAATGGCTGAAGACGCTGCCAGACAGTGCCACTAATTGATGTCAGTGGCATCCTTGTTGTTAGTTTCTGCACAGATTGTTTGAGTGGGTGTCTGGAGAAGTAGGCGACTTGAAATGACATTACACCAGATCTCTTCCGCATTCACCTTAATTGTTCCCTTCGCAACAATAAATAATGGTAGGGAGTTCAGTAATAAAGTTCTCAAATAGATTATGGTTGTTCGGTTGTCGATTATGATAATGGGTGTGCGTCTCGCCCGGAAGGCTGAAACCCGATGGTTACAGCCCATAATTCCGCCGACTGACATTGCACACGTCATCATCATTATCAGAAATCGTAAAAAATCGTTCAGCTGTAGCACCCTTTCGGCGCCTAACTGTCATACCACCCATAGGAGGCACGAGGGCTGAGATACTGTCAGGTTGCCCAAGCCTAGACAGGAGAAGTCGAGAAGCGGAGGTCGGATTCGAGCCATGGACCTTCCGGTCAGTCAATTTGCGCTCTAACCACTTCGGCCATCTCGCCCCCATTATCATCAGGTACAGCGCCATATCACAAGCACATTATGCTGAAAGGCAGTAAATCCAAGACCGTCACAGATAAACGACTCAAGTCAGCCTTTGCTGAGTCTTCCGATTCCGTTAATTCCCAGCCGCTTCACACGACCCCTTGAAGACCCCTGTCTGTGTCAGCCACCGACCCGGCACCCCAATTGACTCGCTCTAGAGGGTATGTGCTCTTCCCAAAGCTGCTTTTGAAGCACTCCGTACCTCTCTATCTGGATTTGTTTGATCCCAAGTTAGCCAGACCCACTGACCCACTTTGAACACATTGCACCGCACTAGTCTGAGTAACCGTATAAAGGCCCTTTAAAATCCTTTTGAAAATCCAGTGTCGAAATGTTTGTGAAAATCAAATAAAAATCGACAACACTTGTCAGACAGAAACCTAGGGGATATCCTAACGGGAATTACCCAGTTAGGTTCGCCTTCGTTCTTCATTTATGTTGGCCTGCCTCCACTTATATCTGTTCAAGACAAACGAATGTTTGGCACAGTGTTTGTTTACAGTGCTCAGTTGGATTTTCCACACAGAGTGCTGCACCGAATGCTCAACCTCCCCGCATAGACAGTCATCATCATCATCATCAACAGCATGACATCAGTAATTAAAATTGATCCTTCGCTGCCGTAGTGCATGAAAGGCGAATTTCTTAACTCCCTTTGCACAGACCCTTGGCGTGTTTTTGCACAGCGTTTTCCAGCAACAGGATCATGCGCTCAAGCGCAGATGGCTAAGTTGGATGGTTTAAGCACGCCAGCTGAGCTCAAAGGCATGCAGCGAAAACCTACTTGCTAGTGTAGCAAACACCAGCAAGGACACCCGGAGGGAAACCTAACTAAACTGAGGCCAAATCCCATAGAAGCCAACACCAATACAGATCGAAATAAGTCTACCAGTATCACACAAAAGTCAGCGACCTAACGACTCCATGTACTTACCTCTGCTCTTTTTCGACCACGTTTCTTCTTTTTCTTGCTTATTTTTATCTTTATTGGTGGAGTTGGTGCTTCGTTCATTACTGCAGGAGACGGAGGAGGCGACTGACTAGCAGCCTCACTACCAGCACATCCGGAAATTGGGGTCGCATAACCGGAGCTTAAAGTATTCGCACTCCTTCGAGCAGGAATCCGTCCACGATGTCGGGCACTCAACCCAGGTGTGCGAATTTCTGAAACATCATCTTCCTGAGTTTCTGTGTCCACATCGTCGAACTCATCGTCTAAATCTGAGGACCAATAAAACAGAACATGAACAGTACCCTCTTCACCTTTGGGTATATAAGGATTCATTATAGCAAATTCCTTCCACTTTGCATCCAGAACTTTTTGAATATCATCTTTAGAGGCCTGTGGGTTCTTTTGAATTATGAGAGGTCGAACATATTGGTCAAAAAGCTTCTGTATGGTCCAATTCTCAAAGTCCTCAGTGGAATACGTGAGCTCAACATCTTCAATCCCTAATTCATCACATAGCTGGTCCACCGTTTTCTCTTTCTACTTCAATGTCAGGTTGAGATTCAGCCTAACCTTAGAGACGCGGTCCGACTTCCGTTTAGAACTAGACGCGTTCGAGTCATCACACTCATCCTAAATGTAACATATATAACATATTCCAACTAACTCTTATCCGCTTCGTTTTACCGCGGCGACGTCCATCCATAGCGGACCGAACCAATGGCGCCCCAACCTTGAATTTTTGAGACCTTGGATGTCAACTCAAGTCAGATAAGCCTAGATCATAGACCCGATGGATTCAGTGGGTTTGTGCACGAGTGAGAAGTCAAAGAAATTTACACCATTTCGTTGGGTTGTCGGTTCTGTTCAGGGGTTTGTTTTGTGTAGCCGAAAAAGGGGTAGAAAAGAACGTGGCTTTACCACTTGTGATAGACAGTATTAATGGGGGTTGTGAGGTCGATTGAAAACCAGTGTGGATTAGGGAAATGGGTGTGCAGTTAGGAGCGAGTGAACGGTTAAGGAGAAATTAGGGGAATCGTAATGAAGGCATCTCATGGAATAGCTACGGCAATTTATCCCAAATTAGAATTCCTGTGGAGAAATGTCTCTCCTTGGACCACTAGTGGACATGTGCTGGAAGATTTTGTGACTGACACCTGCGATGGCTTATCTGTGGGAAGAGGAAACCGGGTGAGTCTTTCGGAGTAAATCCGCGGCAGGTGTGTGGGAGCCAACCACCCAAAACATGCCAGTAGGAACGGATTTAACCAGTGGAGTCGTTAGAATGGGTCCGCTTGAAATACGGTAGATTTTGGTGGCCTCAGGTTTTAATTTTTCGTGCACGCTTATGTCGCATTTATTATCTAGGATAACAGATAGTACTGTAGCACCACACCGGGGAAAATATGGAGTACATCACTGTGGATTTGAACTGTTCTGGATTGGGAAATATTCTGAGGAAGAGGCTGAATGATTTTATCACTCCTTCGACGAGTTGAAGATCACCGTAGAAGGGTGGTCTATGGTAGTCAGAAATCCCACACGCCTAATGTAAGGCACTTGCCACACCTTTGATATCCGAGTCTATCGGATTTGACTCACTTGGAAGGAAGAATCAAGCCGGTTCAGGCCCCGGTGTTCGTTGGATACAGTGACTGGTTTTAACGCTCTCATGGCCTCCTGCATGGGTCTCCAGCGCATCGTTTCCAGACCAAAAGCTGGCTGAAACTGTTCGGCGCCTTCTGGAGACTAAATTCCAGTTATTCTTAACAATTACAACTGCAGAAGCCAGAAGATGAGCTGGTACTTCGTAAAATGCGGAACCTACGGGAAAAATCCACAGTACTAGCTTAACAATTCAACTGCAGAAGCCGGAAGATGAGCTGGTACTTCGTAAAATGCGGAACCTACGGGAAAAATCCACAGTACTAGGACTCACCCGTAAGAACAGAAATGTGCTGCTGCAGAAATGGGTCAAATGCCTCCACCTTGGAGGGCAAAAACGGGGAACTCATGAGTCGCCCGATGGCGGCGTCTGAACTCTCTGGCGTCTGAACTCACGTCAAAACGTGTCAAGGCATTAGTACAAACGGTTGCCAACCAACGTGGATGTTCAATGAGGAAAGCATTCGTCTGCTCAACAATAAAGCGCAACCCTTTAACGTGTTGGGACCAGGTTGGTTCCCTCCAATGATCCTGGTAGAAACGTTGCTCGCACCAGTGAAGCGTTGTTGCCCGGTGTTCCGTCAGTCCCTGGACAAAAGTAAACTCCCCTATGCTTGAAAAACAGTAGTTGTCACGCCCTTCTACAAAGCTGGTGACCGTCTATCGCACTGCAGCTACGGGCATATTAACCTCACCGGCGTATTGCGGAAAGTGAGGGGACGCATTCTAAGGCGGGCTAACTTCACTACCACCTGGTATCCTTAGAGTCACACGGATTCCTCAAAAAGCGTTTTTCTGTGACTGATGGACGGATGATTGATGGGCAAATGAAGTCAAGCTAAGGATGGAGGATTCATATCGGATACCACATTTTTCGACTTTTCGACTTCGCGATCGAGTCCCACATGTCCCGCTGTAGAAGACAGCTTGCCAACAGTGTGATCTGTTTGGTGTGACGATATCGATTTTGAGGCGTAGTGATCTGCGCTTTATCCTCAGGCTGGTAATTGTACCGCCTTATTTTTGTAACCCTGGGGTATCTGCAGAGGAGAATCCGTTGAGGTTTGTTGAATATGTATATTATTGTATTTGCAATAGTACCGTGATTCCAGAATTCGGATTTCTTGGTCGTTTTCCTGGATTGGCACGCGTGACTCAAACTCAGAAAGCAGATAGCCGTAACACCCGCTGCTCCATAAACTCGAGTCATAAGGGATTCAAGTGGAAATTCTACGTTGGATTACGGCGTTCTTACCAGGCCAGGCAATCCTAATAAAAGCAGGCTCTACCGAAGGTTCATCTGCACCGGTTTCCGCCGGGGATAATCAAGGCTATATTTCGAAACCACTTCTGTTTCTGGTTCGGTTCGGCGGCCTTCTTGATGGTCCGTCAAGCCCAGGTCTGATTTCTGCGGATATGATGAAATCCTACAGTTTTTATGCCAATGCTCTCCATATTAAAATCGATACCACAGATTAATAGTGGGCGAACCGGATCCTTCCTCTAAATGACGAAACGTGCATCCATATCTCATCCGAAGGAGACCCAACGAACGCGTATCTTCCACCTGGTGAGAATGGGCCCGAAGACATCACGGGGATGTGCTTAAAAAGAACTAAAATCGACAGTAAATGAGCAGAATGTGAACGACGAAGAACTAGTAACGTTTCTTACGGAAGCAGAGCGGGTAATGAATGGAAGCCCTATTATGCCCAATCAAACCAAATATTTTGACAAGCCGAATTATTTGCTCATTCTCAATAATAGGATACACGGAGTTGTGCCGGAATGTATAACAGAGAGGTATACGAGAGGCTGGCAGCAGGTGAACTACTTAACTCAAGTATTATGGAAGCGCTGGGTGAAGGAGTACGTACCTCTGCTTCAAGAGCGGACTAAGTGGCAGAAACCTAAAAGGAGCTTCAGGAAAGGGGATGTAGTCCTGGTGCAATCAGGTGCGTCCTCTCGGGAACAGTGGCCCGTAGGCGTGGTTGATGAGTGTGAAACGTCAGGTTACGGTTTGGTTAGGACCGTAAGCACACGAGATGGTAAGCTTAGGAGGGATGTGCATAAGATCGGTTTGATAGGGAGTAGGGGTGTTGGAAGTAGACGGGAACCGCGCGCTCAGCTCTCCGCAGGTGGAAGATGGGTTTTCGAGCTCATTGCATACAGGGAGACCACTGAGAGTTGGCGCATGCGTAAGTTCCGTTTGGCGTACTGCTGTAAGTCCACACGGAACTTGGGGTAAATATATATATATTTGAACCAGGAATGACCATAGCTTGATGGAGAAAAATCCACTGGGATTTTGGGTGGCGGTGTAGAAGACAGCTTGCCAACAGTGTGCTCCCGTTTCCAACCCCAAGTGACAGCCAGTCCCCATATTTATTCCCCTTGACCAGATGAACTGAAACCTACTTTTTTTACTGAACTATTTTCATAACTTTTACGGACTTTGGTCGAACATTGTGGTTCTGCGGTTGCTCGCCGTCGATATCTGTTTGGTTGTGACGATATCGATTTTGAGGCGTAGTGATCTGCGCTTTATCCTCAGGCTGGTAATTGTACCGCCTTATTTTTGTAACCCTGCGGTATCTGCAGAGGAGAATCCGTTGAGGTTTGTTGAATATGTATATTATTGTATTTGCAATAGTACCGTGATTCCAGAATTCGGATTTCTTGGTCGTTTTCCTGGATTGGCACGCGTGGCTCAAACTCAGAAAGCAGATAGCCGTAACACCCGCTGCTCCATAAACTCGAGTCATAAGGGATTCAAGTGGAAATTCTACGTTGGATTACGGCGTTCTTACCAGGCCAGGCAATCCTAATAAAAGCAGGCTCTACCGAAGGTTCATCTGCACCGGTTTCCGCCGGGGATAATCAAGGCTATATTTCGAAACCACTTCTGTTTCTGGTTCGGTTCGGCGGCCTTCTTGATGGTCCGTCAAGCCCAGGTCTGATTTCTGCGGATATGATGAAATCCTACAGTTTTTATGCCAATGCTCTCCATATTAAAATCGATACCACAGATTAATAGTGGGCGAACCGGATCCTTCCTCTAAATGACGAAACGTGCATCCATATCTCATCCGAAGGAGACCCAACGAACGCGTATCTTCCACCTGGTGAGAATGGGCCCGAAGACATCACGGGGATGTGCTTAAAAAGAATTGTACCCATTCCTCTTAAAACATTCTGCTCGATACACGATGGCAAACCGGCTAAAAAGCCCCTCTTCGTTCTACGGATGAGGAGAGCTACTTCCTCCCTGTGCCCCGTTTGAGTAATGTTTGTCCAACAAGACTTTGAATGTTGACTTAACTGAGGCACGTCGGGGACGTGGTAAGATTCTATAGCTCGGAGCATTTTTGGGTGCTACCGATCCAATACACCCACCACCTCTTTCTGCACCGTATCACCCTCCACAACCCCTAAAGGTGCAAACGACTGTACATCAAACTCTCTTCCACCTGCACACCACATTTTAAAGACATTCCCTACGCCATAACAAACCTAATAACTTACCTCATACCACTGATTCCAACCGACCTCGCCCGCTGTTCGCCTCCTACCACCAGAGCTTAGTACACTTCGACCGGCTCCAAACACGGGCCTGATCAACTCTACTTCGTGTAATCTTACTCACTCCACCCACCTCACTGTAGCACTAAACTCCACTGTAAGCGAATTTGGTAAATTCCCAATTGGCATTGTTTGCTTGCCAACGAACCTATCAGTGGTGCGGTTTAGTGCTTCCTCACTGCTACAAAATGTCCATCATTTCCACTTTATCATCCGTCATGTTGACAATGAAATTCCCCACGTTTGTTCTGTCCCCATTTGTAACCTCCGCCCCACTTTTGTGTTCAGTGTGTATATATGAACTGACGTTTGTCCTTACCACTTCACTCATTTGACCTTGAGATCATCCGGCCATTTGTATTTGACGTTGCACGTGTGACTGTCGCACGTGGGAGCCTGTTTGCTCCCTCGCTTTGTACTTTTGTAGTCCAAGCGGACTGTTTGTTTTGGACGCGTATC